ATATGTTTCAGAGTATTAGATGTCCCCAGCTAAATGAGGATGCCCATTACAAAGTCCTTTGTGAAATTTAATTGGTAGAGTCAGAAAATCATGAAGAAATGTAAACTACTGGCATCAGATTCTAGGGAAATCACTGAGGCACAAAGTCTTGTAGAAGTGCAAGGTATCGATACCAGATTATGAAGCAGATATTGAGCCTTTCAGGAAAAATAACCAAAGGAAATTATGCAATAAAATTGCAGTTTCTCTTCTGGAGTTACTTGCTCCTCAGTTCCAATATAAAAGTTATGCCAAAGTGGAAGGGAAGCAATCACCCAGCAGAAATAAAGCCAGAGAGATAAAAGTGCTTGATTTTGCTAGAGAAGGGTTAAGAAATTACAAGATCCATTTAGCATGAAAACCTTCCCTAACATATTATACCAGTGTCTGCTATAAACAAATGTTGAAAAAGGCATAAGAAAGGAAATCAGGATTCTTGGTCCTTGATTTAGATGTGCCATTATCCTTTCTGGACTCAACTCCATTTGATATATTTTTCAAATGCAAAGAACCAGAAGGAAAAATTTCTACACTGATTTGAAATGTAATTCTCCAATCCTAGTTTGTCCCATCTGTGTATATTTTAAGGCCATCTGAGTTAATGTCATGGCTTCTAACAAAAATTATTTAAACTATGTAAGTAGAGGCTCCATGATGTAGACATGAAAGATGAGGAATGTTGTTATTTGTTCCTGATCTCAAACACCAAAAGATTTCAAAAAAGAGAAGCACTCTCAGAAGGCCTGTGTGTATGCCATAATACACACACACACACACACAAAACAGAACTCAACAACGGAACAGCATGCAGTGCTCATTGTTGGTGCAGTGAGGGGGTCAAAATGTATCACAGGGACAGGAAAGTCCCTCACATGACCAGCGTCTTGGCCATGCTTGAAAGGCAGCAGCTATGCAGAATCTGAGGCTCTTACACAAAGGATGTTGACATCAAAATGTCATTTTTATTTGTAATCATTGTGTTCTTTTGTGTGAATCTATCCAAACTCTAGAAATAATCCGTGCAGGACAAATGCAGTTGACTTTATCCCGGATGAAATACTTCAGTGATGTAGAGAATATTTTTTATTTTTAAATGATCAAGAGGTAGGTACCCATGAATACAAACCTGATGTGTACAAGTAGTTACTTACAAAATAACATGAACACCATCAAGAGGGAAAAGCTCCAGGGAATAAATTAGACCTAACTAGAACTTGTTATTTTCAAAATCTATTCAATATATTGATTTTTCTTCCAAGATAAAGCAAATTGAATGTACTTAATCATTTTTCCTTAGCCCTTTGCTAATCTACAATGATGATTCTCCCATGTGCTACAGTTCTATCAAGTGATTCCATTTTTTAAACCAATACAACCCTAAGCAGAGACTATCATTATATGTTTCTCATATTGGTAGGCAGAACAAGCTGAAAAGTAAAGCTTAAATTTACACTCTGTTAAAATTTTCCAATTATTGGATTTGGGGAAATAAATCAGAATGTTAAGCAACTCTCAGGAATAACGGAATTATTTTAGAATCAATAAATAAATTGAGTGTAACAAACAAAATGGTCAGTGTATTTTTTTGGATGGCTGGCCATGCCCTGGTCAGTACCACACTAAAAATTTGTCAATAGTCTTTTCTGCAAGGGCGCATATATTTGTCTATGTGTCTGTGTACCAGAGTCGTGTTTGTGTATAGATGAATGAACACATTACCAACTATATCATGTCAATGATGAACAACAGATAGAAATCACAAAAGAGAAAAAGAAAACCGATTAATTTGGGAGCAGATATCATTGTATCTCATGTTGCCATATGTTCTAATCATGCAATACCTACATGTGAATGTATTATTGATTACATGAACAGATAGAGCGGGAACAAATGAATAAAGTGAGGATGTAAATCAAAAGCATCAACTTAAACTAATCCACTCAGAGACTTCCCTTGGACTTAGGATGGCAAGAATGGGAGCTAAAAATTAAGCTGCATTTTATATGAGCCTTATTATATATCAGCTGTGCAAAAAATCCCCAGAGAACACTGACATTGTTGGACTATTTCTGCCTCAGAACACAAAGGCATTCACATGCTCCGTGATCGACTGTATGGCATCCTTTCCACTGTGCAATTTAGACTGGTAATTAAGGAAATTGTAAAGCCTCATGACTCTCTAAGCACGATATATAGAACTCTACAACTTTAGTAAGAATGAAGAAATACTCCAGAATTGATGATGCCTACAGCATGTCATCATGATGTTCAGAAAAACTTAGTTTTATAATGATTTGGGTATCCTGAAACTTCCTCACCAACAGAAAGTAAAACTGAAGAGTTTTATTTGCATTACCTGCAGATTAAGTTACATGAGAAGTACGCTATATGTGTTTTCAGAGGACATTTATAGGCAATGTGAAGATGAGCAAGACACTTAATGTCTCTGAGATTATTTTCTATGTTAAAAGGCAGATATTAATGTCTCATTACCAAAGTAGGAGCAAAAATAAAGTGGAATAAAGCATAGAAAGAACTCAGCAAGTTCTGACAGAATAGGATCTCCCAGTGTGAGCTGTTTCAGTCTTCAATCCTCATCCTAGAGCTGGAGGTCACATGCAACACACAAATCAAAAGCATCTGAGCTCCTGACTGATGTCACTTTGCTACATCCCCTCCACAACTTCCCCCCAGTGCCTCTCTACATCCGCTGCATAGAGGCCACAACGAAGAGGGTGAAACCTTCTCACCAAACTTCTCCAAGAACCCCATAAACCATACAGCCGTGACTGCCCAGGCACCTCTGAAATCTCCTAGGCTATGGAGAACAGAAAATATGCGCAAAAGGAAAATAGGCAGAAGAGAGAGGGGGAAAATGGGTTCTATGGAAAACTAGATTTGCAGGAGGCCTCTATGAAGAACCTACACCTGCTCAAGCTGCAGCCCTAAGTCTAAGCCTAAGGAACTGCAGTGGGAACTGAGGGTATGGAGGGAGAGGAAGGTATCAAGGGAAGTCCTCGCACTTGTCTTGACCCCAGGAGTCCATGCCCTCATGGGGCTGTGGGCCACATCACAGAACAATGGTATATCATTATGCCACTGTATGGGCGTCATTTTGGTCTTTTCAACCCTACTCAGAATTCAGGATCAAGACCAGAATCACGAGGCAGAAAGTATTTACGTTAAAGGGAGTCACAAACATGACTTTTCTACACAGCCTGGTAATTAATTTTTAACTTTAAGTCATGGGGATTCATGCTGATCTCCACATAATCTAAAAATGGCATTTATAAGTGATGGTTCCCGAGCAATGATGTGCCTAAAATCCTAAATTCTCATGTTCAGGCCTAGCTCACACATTCACTAGGCTGGGAAAACATAGTAACTTTGGGCAGCCCTTCATGTTTTACACTCACAGTTAATAGCAAGTGTGAAAATCCCCTCCTGTCACCCCACTTCAGTACATGACAGCAACATTTACCCGGACAGCCAGTCCTGATGACTGCGGCATTTCTCTGCCTGAAAGCATGACGAGCTCTCCCCTGCCTTCAGAGGAAAGCTTGGTTCTGCAGCAGAGCAAAAATCCCTCCTGTTGCTTTTTCTCACAAGCCTTACCTTTTACCCTGCCCTTTGCTCCGTGCATATCTGTGTATTTCAGAGTGGTCCTGGTACCACACGTGGTTATATCCCTCCATCCCTCCTACGCACATGCCCTTCTCCTCTTTCCTTACCTGCAAACCTACTTTTAAGGCAGAACCCCACCCACAATGCAAATGAACTGCATCATCACCTCTGGGAAAGGCCACATCACCTTAAGGAAAATGTGGAACCGCCCATCCCAGGCATCTTTGGGACTTGTTCTGCATCATTGAAGCCACTCCCTGTTATCACCTGTTTTGATACCACTGTGTTGATAAAGACATCAGCACATCTATAATGAATAACAAAACTTCCTTGAAAGAATAGTGTCCTCCAAATGTTTAGGAAATTCTGGGAAGCAAAGGGGAAATCCTTCTGCAGTGGGCAGTTTCAGCAGCCGGCTCCCCTCAGTCCTAAAAGTTCCACCATCTTAACTGAACAGAGAAGCCCTTTTAGCGCAGTTCTTTCATCTTCCTTCAGGAAACCAGAGGAGCTTTCTATCTGTCTGCGTGCACCGGGCAAGCAGTCAGTTTAGAGCTGAATCTGCGTACATCTGCCCTCTGGGTCATCAAACATGTCTGGACTGAAAATCCATAGCTCTGCTTTTGTTAAGTGACACTCAATTTCAGATAATTCTGACTGCTTTTTTATTTCATTATTATTTTTCACCATTAGACATCTGGGCAGATTTTTTTTTTTCCCCTTGGCATTTAGATTGTGAGCTCCAGAAGTTCAAGTATCTGGCTTGTCTTCTTCCCTGGTGGATCCTGGACACCACTGAGACGTTGAAAAGTAGTCCTGCTCCATAAATATTAATGGCATAAAATTTTGAATCCACTAATTAACATTCACTTCTAGACTATACTACAGCATAATTTTGATGCAAATTATACCAAAAAGCTAATAAATAAAAAAAAAAATCCCTGAGACCTGTGCTATCTTAAGTTTAGCAATAGTTTAATACGGTTTTCCTAATGGTAACTACCCTGTTCACAGCCATCAACTATGTTCCTTTTGAATTCTCCAATGGGTTGAGCAGATAGATCTGTCTGGTGCTAATGATTCGCTTTGGTGTGGAATTAAATTAATTTTAAGTGAGTGGGTGAGCTTTTACTTCTAGCCTTTGCCAGTGGAGGTATTTTTGGTTTTGTTTCTGGGTTTTTGTCTCTGGGGGTTTCCCGAGCTACTTGTAGAACACTGCAAATATAGAATGCATTAAACTCCTGTTCAGTTTCTTCTAGTGTCTAAAAGAATCAGAACGAATCTTGAAACTGAGAAACAAATCTTTTCAATTTAAAATTAAGGGCTAGGAGTTCCCTTACCTGAGCAGAAGTCATCAGAGTACCGATCGTAAACAGATCTGCAGTCCCTTTCATCACATGCGCAGGTGTCCCCGTGAATGTCTCCCCAGTCCCCAGTTGGATCAACATCGTGGCAAGAACACTCGCCACACACACAGGTCCCTAGATGGGAAGAAAGAATGTTACATGGATCTAATTAAGAAAATCTATCACAGAAAGCATCTCACCCGCTGATTTATTTTTCCCTGGTGCTTCTTTTGTTTTGGAAAACTTACATTTTCAGATAAAAATGTTCTTAAAAAGGAAAATACCATCTGAAATTTGAAATTCCTTAACAGATAAACAAAAGTCATCACCTATGTTCACAATGATGACAGATTGCCATGTGTGTCATTCGTGGTATGGTAGCTTCTTTTAATGATAAGACCAAACTAACATGAGAGAGAATCTTAGCCTTTAAGGCATATGCAGTCTAGCTGATAACATCAACAACAAAGACTAAGGATAGAGAAACTGGCAAGTATCAGAAGAATAAACATTAGCATTTGTAAACCACAGGGATGTGATGGAAAAGTTTGGTGAAGGGGAGACCCACACAAGTTGGAGTAATTAGGAGCAGAAGATCTGGATGTACCCAGGAGGGGAGATGTCCGAGGATACTAAGAGTGGGTGTAGAGCCCAAGGTATGCATGAAGGAAGGCCAAGAAGGAAGTCCGAGGAGGGGTTGGATTGGTGCAGATTAAAGAGGGTGCTGGAAAGCAAACTAAAATGTTTCACCTTGGTCATCAAGAGATTTGCTTAGGGAAGTGCCTCATTAGAAGCCATATTTCCTGTCTTATCTTTTTAAAAAAAAAACAGTTTTATTGTATACTTTTGATATACATAAAGATCATACCATACCTTGTGAGGATCATCAGTAACTGTTTTTACTCATTGTTTTTAGGGCAACTATCTAATCATTTGGAGAAAAATAAATTCAAATTTTTGCAACAACTCTTACCAAAATACCAGTTGGGTTGTAGACTTAAAAGTAGAAATTAAAACAATAATTTTACCCAGAACTCCCAATGCAAAATTGCTAAAGGAAAAGAAATGAATAGACTTGATCACATAAAAGCCTAAAATTTTGGTTGGGACCAAACACCATTTAAAACAAAAGTCTAAAAAAACTGAGTCAAGTAATATTTATGAATTTAGAAGACAAAGAGCACTTTCACAAATGCATAGACAATTCAAAGGAGTAAAAAATATAAAGGTTAGCTATACCTAAAATAAAATAAACCAAAGGAAAAGAAAACTTCATAAAGAAATAATGATTGGCATGAAGACTGTTTATCCACTCAAACTACTACTAATAATCAGGGCTTCGCAGGGAGAGATCATTAGCAAAACAGGGACTTGGGACAGTTTCTGATGTTAGACTGTCACAGGTAAGAGACCAGATAAGGACCCAGAGCTGCTTTCTGGTTCTGAAATGGAGTACAGAAGGGTACAGAGATCTCAGTGGCAAGCTCATAAATGTACTGCTTAGATATATGTTACTATTCAGTATAATACCCCTCCAATCAATGTATCCAACAGCAAGGAAAAGTACACAAAAGTAGCTGTTCAGAGATATAAAATATGATTGCATTTATTTTATTGAAAAACATGCCAGTGTCCCAATTAGCAGTCAACAGGAATTATTCCAGTAATGATATATGCAAAGTGTGGATCGCAAAGCAGTCATCAAGTATAATATCAGCTTTTGTGTGCCGGTATATACAAGCAAAATATACATTAAATGGAAAAATCAAATTAAAAATCAGTATGTATGGTATGACATAATGTTTTGTGTTTAGTAAGAAGATGGAATACATGGGCAAATTTATATTTCTTCAGAGGGAAGAGAAAGTCACAGAAATTAATTCAAGTAAATAAAAAACCTGAAAGATCATGTACTAAAATATAAAGGGTGTTGTCATTTAAGTGTCACAGGTCATTTTCATTTACTTCTTTATACTGTTATGATGGCTCTTTAAGATGGGGGTGTGTTGTTTTCAGGACAGTGCAAATGATGTAGTGGGGAAAAGGACAAGCAGCTGGGAGAATTTGCAGGAGAAGAAACCTCCAGGCATGTTGGAAGGGAGGTCCAACACGAGCTGTCCCCAAGCCAGGTGGGCAACAGAGAACTTTACCCGTCTCCACACAGCGAGGTCTACAGTCCTATTTTCTTAGCCCCTGGAGAGGAGCAGGAAGGGAAGACCGGGTAGACAATTGAAGGAAACAGTGTCTCCCTTTTACCAAAGGAACCAAGGAAAAGAAAATGGCGCCGGGTTCGACACAGTTGACATTTTCTGAGGAGGACTCATCCCAGGGCCTTCCTGAACCCCTAAGGCTCACAACCTATGAACCTCACTGAGGCAAGCTCCTCCCACTCTTCCTCAGCCAGATCTGCAAATGCCAATGCTCCAAGCAGGAGGCAGGACCTCGGACAGGTGGCCTGGTGTGTGTCTCTGAACAGCACCCTGCCAGCTGCACAGCCGTTCTCCACACCCTACCCCGTCCCACGCTCCTCTTCCCCTCTGAATCCAACACCTCAGTGGTTACTTCTCCATAATCATGCAGTTCAGGCTTCATACACTGACAAAATGGTGAGTTTGTATCCCATGGAACAGGCAGGATTTCAGCAGAAAATATATCTTTATTTAAAGAACATATAGAGTGAGTTATTGTACACAGTAAGACCTAATCCATGTAAAGTGATGACTTTTTTATTTTTTTGTTTTAAGTTCAGAATTTTTGTTTCCATTTTCCTATGCCCTCCCTTCCCCATCAAGTTGTTCTATTAGGGTGAATCATTCATGAAGAGAAATGAAACCAGTTTTCCAGCTAACTAGATTTCATAATATAGAGAATGGATAATGGCCCCTTGTATATGTCATCAGGCAGCTCTCTATTATCTACCTCTCAGCAGACAAAGGGAAAATAAATAATTTCCAGCATTTCTAATTCATTAATTAATTTGTTTTTTCGAGACAGGGTCTCACTATGTACTTGAGACTGACCTGGAACTCACTATGTAGCGCAGGCTGGTCTCAAACGCACAGCAGTCCTCCTGCCTCAGCCTCCCGAGTGCTGGGATTACAGGTGTGTGCCACCATACCGGGCTAATTTCCAGGATTTTTAAGAGCTGTGCAACTATTTGATTTTATATCAACTGTTAACTAACTTTTAACTACATTTTGTCAATATGAATTTTTTAAAGTCCTACTTAAATTCAGTTTAAATTATACATGGGTATTTGATACATAGTTTCTACTGTATCCATTGGATTCCATATAGTACTCTTGTTATTGCATTTAGAAGTTAAGTTCATCTGTATTGATTTAGCCTTTCAGCCAAGCCTTCCATTTGCTCATAATTAAGACAAGAGGGCTTTTTGCATGCTCTGTGGGTAATTAGATGCTCATGCTGTCAGTGGCTGTGTGAGTCAAGAGACATTTAGCAGAAGTACCTACAAGGATTGCCTTTTAGCTGTACCATGCCACTTCTGGGGGGCAGCCAAAGAAATGACAGTCCCTGTGTTAACTATTTGCTCAGTGAAGCTTAAAGTACGACAACAAACTTTCTTATCTTTCTGTTCTGTACTCCATAAAGAACAAGAAAGAGGACTGTTGGTATAATAAAGATTGACTTATATCAAAGTAAATGATTATAAAAGATGGTTCCCTCCCACCCTTAAGGAAATGCAGAGATGTGTTAATAACGAAGGCTCTGTTTGCTTCCCAATTACTTAGTAACATGTATGAAGGACGCACCTCTGTTACTGCAGATTTTGCCATCTGGAGATGTGCATTTTCGCTTGCTTTCCCAGGGGGTGATGTCGCACTGGAATTCACATTTATCTCCATGCCAACCAGCCTCGCAGTAACAGTTTCCACAGTAACACTTCCCATGGCCTTTACCCAAAAGAATTTTACACAGTGAGGAAAAAAGCAACTTTTCAAAGCAGCATTAACTTTCTACCTCTTCATAATCATTTTTGCCTTTTAATATGAGAGCTCCACATTCCTTGCTAAATTAATCAAATTATACATTTTTTCCTCAAAACATCCAAGTGGAGCTTATACCTGGACTTTGTGTTTGCATAATTATATTTGCCTAATTACACAAGTTAAGCAAACCAAATTGTCCTTTAGCTTGGCCCACACAGAGAGCTGATTAAAATGAAAGTGTTTTAAAGAAGTAACGTGAATGATTGTGAGAGTCTATTACTTAGCATCCTCTGTTATATCCATCAAACTCCAATGCATGAGGGCATTTCTTCAATTAGGTATTAAATAGTTTATTTGAAATCAACTACTGAGAAAGCAATGGTGGATATTTACTTAGATACACATTATTAATTACAGAGCCATTTTTAAACCAGAGGAAACAGATCAAGTTTTCATTCAGCTGTGTCTCACAATCTGCTGGGCTCCTCTACATGGAAAAGATGTTTTCAGCTAAGGCTACGTTTGGTTTTGATTTGGACCAATAAAATATTGTAGACACTGGTCTCCCAATCAAATGCCTACCATATGTGTAAAGAGGATAAAAATGACAGTGAATGGCACCCATCACTTTGTCCAGATGTCACTCTTTAAGCTCTCTTTTTTATTTTTATTTTTGGTAATGGGGATCAAACTCAGGCCCTTGTGCTGGTGAGGCAGGCAGGGGAACCACTGAGCCAAATCCCCGGGTCTGAGGTAGCCTATTATCAGTGCATTTGAATATTCCACTAAGCCACTGAAATGGATTTTCACATCACTTCATTCAAGTCAAACATCTCTAACCTCCCTTCTGCAAATTCCCAAAGGATGACACTTACCTCCAAATTCACTGTTTGTTCCTGCTCTTTCTTGTGCTTGTGCTACCTAATCATGAACAAATGTCCTAATTCTTGTTGTAAGTCTAACCCTTCTGTTTTAGGAGTTTGGTTTTTAACTATCTACATAGTTGAAATACTTGTTCTTCCAATTGCCTTCTGTTGCTCTAGCCATATTCCCAGAGGGCCCATGGAAAATCAACCACGGGATATTTTTCAATCTCTAGTGCCCCGTTTTTCATTCTAACCTTATGGCGTATCTAGCCAATAGCAAAAATATTAGTAGGGTGTAAGTATAAGAAGTGGGAAATACTACAGAATATTCTACTCTGCTATGCCATTCCTGCTCAGAAGATGTGACTTATACATGCAAGAGAAAGAAAAATGTGAAAAGATATAATGCTTTAGAAAGATGCAAAGAAAGAGGAACTCACTCACCCAATACCATGTTTTCTGGCTAACTACACTGTAATTGAAGTATTAATATGAAACTTCTCCTTAACATCAGAGACAATGACTATTTCCTCCACATTTTAATTTGTTCACTTAAGCAAAGCAGACTATCAAATTATTCAATCAAAAGTGAAATATATCACTTCTATATTTTATTTGTTAACTTTAAAAGATTTCTTCATGACACACAACAAAATCATATTCTAGTGCTATATAACAAGCCTTGGGAACTTGAGAATTGCACTAGAAAAAAACATAACTGTGCATTAATTGCTTTTCTTAACAGTCAGATTTGAAAAGATTTAATCAACTTTTTAGTCTTAAATAAACATTTATTTCCTCTGTAATTTCAGGATAGGAGTCTAAATTCTATCATAATTAGTGAAATGAGTCTGGGTAAATTCTTTCATTTTTCCAAGTCTTAGTTTCTACATCTGTCTGTGAGAATAAAATTAACCCTTACCTTGGAGCGATGTTGTGAGATGTATGGATGCAAAGTACTTATTGAAGTTTGTGGCATTGTAGGAAACAATATAAGCACGGTGCAATAAAAAAATGAGTTGAGTAATGGTGGCACACAGAAAGGATACAGGGAAAAGAGTGAAACTCTAAGCCAACCATCCTATCAGGCTTCAGTGATCTCAGTAGGACATGGGAGTATCTGAGGGCTATGGTTTAGAAAGAGAATGAAACAGCCAAGATATATCAAGTAAAGGTACAAGATTGCAATGACAAATGCCACTGTACTGTTTGCTTTAAATGTTCCAATAAACAATGGGAAAAAAGAAAGACAATGAAATTAATTATTGTTAAGAGATAAGGAGAAAAATGATACAGTTATAGTGGTTAAGGTGAGCAAAAAGATGGCATCCTACTAGAACGGCTTCAGAGTTATGCAACTGGCCTGTTGTCAGACGATGTGACTCCCCTCTGGGAACAATCCAGCTTCACATTTAAAAGGTGCTAGTCTATTCTGAATACCCTAGTCCAACTCTCCAGATGTGGAGTGTGCTCCTAATAGCGTAAGTTCAAAGTGGATCAGAACACAAGAGCAAAAACTCATGCAGAGATAAAAGTACAACAAAGAGGTGAAAAAAAAAACCCAAAACAAAACAGGAGCTTTTATGGATTTCCACCATTAACATACCTACCTCCACATATCTCCTCCGTCTCATCATCTATGCATTCTCTATCATCACACTCACAAAATTTGCCATAAACGAGGCCATTTCCATCTGAATCATCACACTTACACCTGCCACAGTGACAGGTACCTAAGCCATGAAAAAAAAAATTATTACAATGCATATCAATAATAATGAATGAAGTTTTATCCTGTTATTTCTAAAGGACAGAAAACTCAACTAAATGTTTCAACACCACAGAAAACTCAACTAAATATTTCAATCATGTATATGGACATACTGAGGTAGAGAATAAACTATAAAGTATTCCTTTTTGAGATTATGAGGGCACAGCAATTATTTTATATCACACAGGTATTACTATTGACCTCTAATAGTTTAATGAATGTAAATTTGACCTCCTCAAATGCAGTGCTATTTCATAGATATCCATCCAACCAAAGCATGAATATCTTCGGATTTTACCTGGGCCTGAAGAGAACTAAAGCAGAAAATTCTAGACTTTATGATGGGAGTAACCTTGCTTATCTTCCTTGCCAGTATTTATTCAATGCTTTGCACAATATTTGAACATGTGATTTCTATAATAAATATTTGTGGAAATAATTCATAATCAAATGCAAAACTTATATGCCCCTGATAATCTCCCATCCTCAGCATTGACTGATACCTTTGTTCTTTTGGTAACAACATCATAGTGAGTTCTCTTAAGAAGATTCCTGGGTCTTTAAAGAATCTCAAAGTGGCTCAGTTATACAGTGGTAATGAAATCATCTGGTCTACCACAAGCCACATACCCATCCAATTCTGAGTGTTTGATTACAACCCCTAAGAGTGATTTAACTGATGGGAATGTTGCATTAAAATGATATTGAGAGGAACTTCTACATGAGGAACTTCTTTCTTAATATATAGTCTTCTATTTTTAATTGATATAGCAATCATTGTATAAAAATTAAGACTTTATCAGTGGCCATACTCAACACTAGATTCTGAAAATCCAACAGGAGATTAAGTCAGCTGTAGTCCTCCTCTCAGAACCCTACACAAGTATAAATCAATGTGATAAAGCAAATAGAGAAGTGAAAAGTGTTGCAGAAACACAAAGCAAGGGGATTTATCTGAGACTTGGAGGTCACTGTAGATTCCCAAAGGAAGCAGATGAGAACTGAGAGTCAAGCCATAAAAAAATAGTATCGAGAAAAGTAAGATGGTGAAGAAATTCAATTCAACAGCAAAGGCTCAGCAGTAAAACAGAGCAGGGTTGAATTATATGAAATAATGTGAAAAGTACAATTATATAAAAAGGCAACTAACGGGGCTATTTGTGGTAATCTAGTTCATCTTAAAAATTTACAACTTTAACCCAAGAATATGAATCTACAGCAGTGGTCTCAGCAAGGGATCCTATGATCAGGTATGTGTTTACACCAGATGGCACTGGTTGACACATGGAGAATGCTCTGAGATTGGGCAAAAGTGGATGTAAAATAATAGTTAAGAAGCTGTTACATTTTTCTGCAGGAAAAAATAAAGTGAAGGTCGGACAGATGATGACAGTGAGTTTAGAGAGAATTAAACATGTTGGAGAATATCTTAAGGAGAAAGAACACAAAGTCTGGTGGCCAATTGGAGTGAGGGGTGAATGATGAGAAGGAGCCACAGATGATATTTGGCTGGATCAATGAGATATTAGCTGTCCTGTACTATATGTGATAAATGGGAAAGGGCAGGGATTCAGATTAAGGTAGACTAGTAGTACAATACAAGTGTAATACTCACTGACTATCCATTTTCGAGAACCCTTTGATCTTCAATTGTTCAAGTTCATAACTGCAAATAGTTTTTAATTCATAGAATGAGGGTGAAGTAATAAATATAATACAAAGTCATCTTTTTTAAAACACTGGATTTAGTCCATAGTAGGCTTTCAAAATATTGAATTTTTCATCTTCTCCCATTAAGATATCAAACATATTAACCATATTATAAATATTTTCTCCAGACTCACCTTGTATTTAAGGACCCTGACAATGACCTTCCTTTTATGTCTTCTGTATGATTCCATTACCCAGATCACTTACGATTTCTATTATCTGTAAATTTTATTCCCTTCAAGTACTTATAAATAGTAACTTTGACAGAATTTGAGTTTATTATTTCCTACCGTGGGAATACTCATGTGATTATGATTTATATTATATTGCAATTTTGTGCAGGTTTTTTTCTGAAGATGATTTTCATTTATAAAACTTATTTGAAATCTGAGGCTACTGCTACATTGTCTCATCTAATTTTTCCTACCACTCTTCTTTTTATATATTGACACTCATTCTGTCTCTCAATCACTCATATCTCTAGTCATTAAAGTGTATTGTTACCTATTGTGTTACTGGAAAGTTATAATAGGATTAGAGTAAGATAAATAAAATTAAGGAAGTCATAGACCAGAAAGAAAAATATAATTAATAAAATATCTATCTCTCTGTCTTAGTTACTTTCTCATTGATGAGACAAGACATAGGACACCCAAAATTAAGGAAGGAAAGGTTTATTTGGCTCACAGTTTGTAGAGGTTTCAGTTCATAGTTGCATGGCTCCAAGGCAAGGTGGCATGGCAGAGAGGCACTACAGAGGAGAAACAGTTCATGTCAGGTGGAAGGCAGCAAGGCAGAAAGCAGCAAGTGACAAGCAGCAAGCAAAGACAAGCAAAGACAACAGGAGCCCTCTCTCTGTTCCTTATATTTTATCCTAGCCACCTGACCTTAGGAGGTTAGGGGAGGTAGGGGAGTAATGCTATCAAAAGTAAAATTCTATCTGGTTCTATGAAGGAGGAAAGGTATAGGGAAGGAATAAATTCTTGAGTTGGCATACAATATATACATATAATTCCAACAAGTGGGGATGAACAAGAGATTTTTGATATTGAAAATGTTGAAGAAAATGCCTAGATTAAGCAATGAGAACGGAAAATTGACAAATGTGAAAACCTGGCTTGGCTTTGGAGAAAAAGGCTAGACTGACTGCAGATAGCAGAGATCAAGACCATTGGTTAAGGATTCCAGATTATCTGTTGGAATACTGGGAGCCTGCCATGGTTTGGAAGAAGAGAGTAACTCTGTTAGGGTTGCATAGCCAGAAATCCCCCAGCCACGAAAGATGGCAAGAAACAGCTTCTGCCTCCAAATTCTACAACTCCTCACTGACGTCTGTTCCCCCACAGGCAAGCTCACCCTCATCCACACATACAAACCATTCCTGGCTAGTTTGGGAGTTTACAACAGACTTCCTGTCTCACTCATCCAGCAGAATTCACAACTGAGCCTCCAAAACATGGCAGATGGAAGCCCAGGCAGAAGTGCCAGACTCCTATGATCGTGCTGTGTCATCCTGCTTCTCTTTCTTGGTTGCCAGTTAACTCACTCTCTAGGATTGGTCTTCTGCCTTACATTGGGTTATTTTAGCTCCAGTTTTGCATGCTGCCTAATATAGCTGGCTCTCTCTAGGATGACTTATCAGAATTGCACACCAGCCTGTACCTTGTGTCAAGGCACTGCATCCAAACCTCACTCTGCACATCGTCACCTGTCTGGGCCCCTACAGAGTTAGCTTCTGGAACTCGTTGATCCCTAGCTGCATCTCCTTCTGCCCTTGGGTCTTACACCCCACTTCATTTATTTCTTCTTGCCTTTTGGTTCCAAGATGCTTCCAGGGGACCACAGTGTGATCTGCAAAAGATTAGAAAACCTATAGGCTGATGCCATTTGGAGGGTCCTGAGCTAGGTGGGTGGAAGTGGTTATAAGACTGAGAATGAATTCACCAGTTGGCCCAACAATCTCACTCCTCACAATTTACCCTGAAGATATACCTCCAAAAACATGAAAATAAAAACAGCGCACACTGCTCCATCCATTATTATTACAGTTTCAAAATACTGGAAACTTTAAATGCTCAAGCATAGAAGATGGATTGAATTAATATGTCACATGCAGTGAATTCAGTCCTATACTTTTGAAAAAAAGAACGAGAAGGATTGTTTATGAACTGATATGGAGTGAATTCCAGGAGACTACCTTTTATACAGGAGATAGACAAAAAGAATAAAATATACATATATATATTTATATATACAGACAGAAACCTATGCACAGATAAAGCAAAAGCAGCAGAGTTGACTGGTCATGAAACTGAGAATAAGTAGGGTAGAAAGGAGTGATGACTCTCTGAGCTATGCTTGCATGGGTAGTTTTGACTTTTAGAAGCCTCTTTATATTCCATACAGTAGGAAATACATGAATAAATCATGGGGAAGAAGGAAAAATGAAAAGTGAAAGCAATATGAAATAAATAAGCTCAATTATATTTTAAACAAATACTGTAAACACACTAAAAGGAAAAAGATAAAAGGAATCCAAGTAATTTATTACACAGCATTTGATGACAAGCTCTAATATCAGAAATGAATCAGGTGAAGAGAGCTTGGGGACATAGTGGATTGGAAACAAATCTTGGTATTTTGTGATGGATTTGTTGTTTATAGTTGTGTGTATGGAGCTATTCTAAAAACAATTTTAGATATAGTATAGGATTGAGCAAATAAATAAATGTACTGGTATTGTGAGGAGATTTTATTTACAAAAAGAGAGATTAAGACAATTTTCTTCAAAATTTTCAATGCTATGAAGCCCAAAAATCCTTGGAAATCGTCCAGATTAAAGGAAGCTAAAGAGAGATGACTAATCCCAACACAGATCCTAGACTACTCTTACAAGGAAGGGTAAAACATTTTAAAGAACATTGTTGAGTCAATTGACAAAACTGAACTAGATGACAGATGACATAAAAGTATTGAGTCAGTGTTTTAAAAAAGATAGAGGTTCAGATGTCTTTAAAATATGCTTTATATTTTACCAAATGTTTTATCATCTATTAAAAAAGGATTATGTACAGTGTTTCATTTCAGATATGTAAATATGAGCCTGGTGTGCACACCTATGATCTCAGAACTGTAGAAGGGTGAGAAGGAAGATCACAAGTTGGAGACTTGCTGGTGAAAAATAATGACTCAGCAAGACTCTGTCTCAAAAAAATGTGTGTGTGTGTGTGTGTGTGTGTGTGTGTGTGTATGGGTGGTGGTGTCACTCTGTAAAGATCCTGGATTTAATCACCAGTACCTCAAAAACAAAAATATGTTAATGTGGTGAATCATATTCCTTAATATTAAAATATCTTCATATTCACAGGTTAACCTTTATCTGGTTATAATGTTTTAATTTTAATATCTGAATTTTATTTGCAAACAATAATAAAAATAAATTCAAAAGCAGAGTGCTCAGGTCCAAAATAGAAGGTACAGCCTGTGTGCATGTGTGTGCACGTGCGTGTGAGCATGTGTGTGTGTGTGTGTTGGTATCAGTGGGTGTCACAAATCGGAGGTAGAGAAATCCTACTTAGGGGAAAGAAAAAGCAGAAGTGCTGAGGAGAAACTACTATGAAGACAGAAAGTGACCTGACTGCTCAGACCACTCTTCTGGCCCCTGATGGCCTCCTTAAGTCTTGCTCTGGGCCTGGCCCGGATTTCCATTAGCCAGACATCCTTACATAGCCCAGTGGACACCTAGCAATTTGTTGCAATCAGACTGTGGAAAAGTCCTAGCTCTGACTGCAGAAGGTCCTTACCAGTAACGTAAGTTTCCAAGGGAAGATATTTGCACAGGCAGCCAAATGCTCACCTTGAACATGTAGTCCGATGTCTCTCACCCCTAGATTTACATTAGGATCCCTCTCTGCAGAATTCAAAATCTACTAATCTCCAGCCTACACCCCAATGCAACTGAAGCAGACCCTCCAGGGTTAGACATGAGCACTGACATTTTATTCCTTTCTCTTTGGGATTCTCATGTTCAGCCATGGCTGAGAAAAACCAGCTTTAAGGCTCCACATACCCAAATGGTAAGAATGCTGAATTACAGCTAAACACCATTGAAATCTAAACTGCAACTGTCTTATTTTACATGGTTTTGCTAATCAACTTTAACAACTTCCCTGTGATTTTCTGAAAAACATCTTTAAATGACTCCTGTGAAATATAAAATATTTTGGTCAAAGTATCTCACTGTCACTGTATGACAGAAGTATGAAATTTCTATCAAATTAAAAAGATTTGGTCCTACTTAATGCTAAGGAATAAATTCAAAGCACCCTTGATTTGTGACAAGAAATAATTAAGTCAGTTATGTAAGTCCTTTTTTAAAAGATTTAATGCAGCATTCAAAACCATGGCTCTCAATTTTCATAAAACGTTGTCGGGTTTTGTTCCCAGTGAATTCTCTGCTCCAAGGAGGCATTGGAAACAGCTGGAGAGTATCAGACTTGCCAGTCTCAGCAAGATGACAACTTTTTTTCCTTTTGATGGATCTGAAGTTCCTTTAAAAAAATATGCTCAAAAGCAGTCTCACTTAGAGGTTCGACCTGTCTTCTCGCCTACATACTTTCATTACAAAACAAACTGTGATTATTTCACTTAAGAATTTCCCTAAGATAGAATTCTTACCTGCGTTGGAGCAGACAATATCTTGAGAATTCTTGCACATTTGGTTGCTTTTCTTCTTCGTAAGGTTACAGTTAGTCGGATACTGGCAAGCATCACCAGACCATCCCAGGTCACATCTGCATTTCCCACAGTCACAAGTCCCATGGCCTGGGGATTTAAAAACATCCAGTGACTCAGCTTGTTTTCCCGAAGAAACTACTGTTGTGGCAAAACCCCTTAAGGGTCACATTGGTTCAAAACTGACCTATAACAAATTTAGACCCATAGAAGGTGTGATGGAAAATACACTGAATGTTTACACTGTAAATGTTTATTGCAGTAGAACACACACTGCTGTTAATCTCCCTCAAAATATCCCCCCTTCCTTTGAACGTGCTTGTCCAATCTTTCCTGCCACTTATAGGAGCAGTTCTGCAAGTCCTCTTTCAGTAGTGTCTTTATCTGTGCTAATGTGGCTGCCCCAATGTTCTGAACTGACTCAAAATGTTACTTTTTGTGGTCATTTTAACTTTGGAGAAGAGGTAGAATGTGCCCAGGGCCAGATTTGGAGAATAAGGCTGATGAAGACACAGAATAATGTCTATGTTTGACAGAAGTTGCCATAAACATTTTTATTCATTCAGGACGTTGAGGCAGCCATGAAAAGACACTCAAGAGAAAGGACTTTCAGAACTGCTTCAAAAAGTGGTAAGAAGGATGGGATGTGTGTATAAAACAGGTGGCAGGGCACTTTGAGGGGAGTTCATGGCTATGTGTCATGTACTGTGACAACTAATTTCTTATTTAAACATTTACTGTATTTTTTTATCACATCCCCAATGTTTCACAGTATCTGAGGGGAATGAGAATTTTACTTCAATAATCAAATTTGAGGAAGTAAGAAGGGTAGGGGAAAGGAAAGAGGGGAAAAGAAAAGATATGAGAATAGGAAAAAATGGAAACAAAATCTTCCTAAATAGGAAAGGGTGGAGAGGATAAATAGGGAGAGCAAGGGTATGGGGAAAAACTAAGAACCAAGATACATCATGTAAAGGTACAAGACCTCAATGTAACTGTAATGTGTACCTAACATGTACCAATGAACTTAATAAAAAAATAATCATCAACATCAACTTTGATAAAGATTAGGAACCCATTAAGTTAATTCACAGAGACGTCAGGATGATATATCAGAATTCTAATAAAGTACAGTCAAAAACTCAGCCCTAAAAAAATAATAAAAATCTACTAATACCACAGAATTTCAGCCCAGTAGAACTTTTTTTCTATATAGCTGTATTTTATAACGCTCAAAACTCCAAATCCTGAATGAGGAATCTGACACAAAACTCCACTAAAACTAAACACTGACTCTCTATTTATTTGAATTAAACTTGCAATAACATTTTATGGGTATATTAAATTTTACCATTGGATAAGATGGACATAAAAACTAAGTGTATATTTTATACTTAAGTCCAAGAATCAAAATGATAGGAAACTTAGTTGTGTTCGTTAACTTAATCTTAAGTGCAGCCTGATGAAGCCTGCTGATGTTTTTATTTCCTGCACACTTGTCTGATCTAGGTACACAACGCATACAATACTTGGATGTTGTCCTCAAAGAACTTACAAACTTTAAATTCAAGGCTGCTGTTGTTATTTTCTGTCAGAAGTGTTTGTCATCTCATGTCAAGTTGAGTGATATATAGTCTATGACCTGCAGGAATAAGATAGGAGATTTTGTAGACTCCCTGGCCTTTAGCTGCCCTTAAAAGTTGAAGTAGGTGACAGTGCTTTGAGGGGAGTTAATGGCTATGTGTTTTTTCTGTAATAATTATTTTTTATTTAAACATTTACCATATTTTTTAATCACATCCCCTATGTCTCACAGTAGCTGAGGGGAATGAGAATTGTACTTCAATAAACACAGTTAAATTAATTAACATTAAGTTAATTCACAGAGACAATGGGTTGTAGGGAGAGTATTCTTATATAAAGGTAATAATTCTGTGTCTTAGTATCTGAAATTCGCAGGCCAAATGGAGTAGAATCACCGACCTGAGAGCAACAGCCATTAGACGTGACAGCCAAAAGCCCTGGATGAGGTCCAGATGGTTGGACAGAATCCATGGTTCAGAGGCTGCCGGTTTGGGTCCATTCAACAAAGCCTGCACCTATAGTATGCTATGTCTTTAAAACCTCTCTTTCTGTGGTCCAATCCTTGTAAATATTTCTATTTCTGCTGCATTTGTCAGATTAATTATTCTGTTTTACAAAGCCTAAAGTACCCTAATTGAAATTCATTTTATTCATTGCACATCACTCTAAAATTGATTGTGATAATTTTGTATTCCTGTTTGGCCTTCCACAATATTATCAGTCTTGGTCAACTTGGTGTTGTTTACAAGAACAAGTGACTTTGCCTGTCAACCATCCTGTCTTTTTATAAAAGTACAAAGCCAAACTCTTGAAGTGGCTAAGCCTCTCCCAGTACACTGAGTACCTTGGAAACTGCACTGACTCTAACAACATTGATGTGTGGCCATATGACGCCGCCACTTGTGTCAGCCGGTATCAGCTGCTTATGATTCATCCCAATATAATGGCTTCATATCAACAGCAAAAAAAAAATTAGAAATGATTTAGAAAATCAATAATTATGGCACTGATGATTTGCTGACTGGAGACTAACAGCCTACTCAGTGGTTCTTTTATATGGCAACCTAAAGTATCCATAGCAGAGACGTGTCAAAAGTTTACAAATGAAAAGTAAGGGGGAAATAAGGGAAATATTTGTAGGACAGAAGGAGACCCATCCATTCCAAGCTAACCCAAGTAAGCATCAGCAGAAGCAATATTCTGAGGTTCATATTTCTCAGGGAGACTATGGAGGCTTAGTTTCATAAAAATGGCTTCCACAAAAGATTCTATGGTAACGTAACCTTGCTCTTGAAATAAAATGGCATGCCAAAGGCTCTCAGAAGTCCTGTGATGAAAAGCGATTTAACTTCATTTACCTCAGAATATATAGTACAGTTTTTCTTGAGTAGAGACCCCCTTCCTCATGATATTGAATTAACATCTTAGCCACCTGCTTCAACCAACAAGATGCTAAGTAATATTTGCAGCATTTCATTTAGCGTTTGCTCAGAGCCAAAGATGTCAGCTAATGTAAGACTGGGTTATCTGTCTTGATATCCCTTCTAAACCTTACCCCAAATAAAACTTTACATTTTGATTCATTTTTCCACATTTAGTAAAGCCAATATAATAGAAATTGATTTTTTTACTGTCAAGAATTATTAAATCATAGACCACATACCTTTATTTGGAAATACATGCAATTTTTTTTGAAAAAAGAAAGAAGACTTCTCACCATTTTTAATATTTTTTCCTAGTTTAGTAAGAGCCCTGGAAGACATCAGGGAAGTATATTTCTATATTATTGTGACAAGTCAATCCCCCATTACATTATACATAATATGGCTTCAAATAAAAAAGACCTCATATATACATATGCCTTGTATATTAGTTTATTGGGATTGCCATAACAAAGTACAAAAAACTTGGTGGTTTAATATGACAGAAATGTAAGCTAGGTGTGCTGGTACATGTCTGTGACCCTAGAACTCTGGGAGACTGAGGCTGGAGAATCCCAAATTTGAGCCCACCTTGGGGAACTCAGGGACTGAATGAGACCATATCTCAAAATTTTAAATATTTAAAAGAGCTAGGGATATACCTTAGAGCAAAGGCCAGTGCTGGGGCTTTACATGTCCTATGGAAATGTTGTTCAATCCAGAGGAGCTGCAAACCCAGATCCTACACTCCTCTTTCCTCACCAAATTATGTAAAAGGTGGGCTGATGCCTTTTTCTTAGACATAAAGACACTGGTTAAAGCTGGCAGCAGCTCCACCTCCACCCTGCCTCTGCCCTGCATAGGCCCGAAGCTGCAACAGTACCTACCGTCTCCTACTCCTCATGTTGCATGCTCCTTTGCCAGTGCTACAGTCTGGAGAGAGGGCATGGTCACAGACCTAGGATCAGCCCAGTCTAGAAAACAGTCTGGGACCCCTGGGGTGACAGTTCTGAGCTCCAGGCACTTGAGTGATTGGACAGTGAGGCACTTCTCAGAATGAGTGAAGGCTCTTCTAGAGGATGCTGCCATTCCCTGGAGTCCAGGTGGCCACATCCCCTCTCAGCCTCCAAGGCTGACTCCACACAATACTGGGTGGCTGAAGAGACAGAGCAGGACCCCTAAGCCATGCAACCCAGCTAAGTGGCCTTGGCCAACCAGGACTCCATGAAGTCCTAGAAAAATTATTTCCCATTCCTGTCTGGCTAGACCATCCCAGTTGTTTGTTCTCCAGATGCTCCAGTTTTTCACCACTCTGAAATGTGGCCTTAATATGAACAAATCAACGTGCTTGCAAATAAATCTGTTGACCTTCAAACAAGTTCTTGAGGAGTCCGGGGAAAACAAACACACACAAAAAAAACGAAAAATGTCAGAGCAAAGCAAAACAACTCCCTGCCAAAACAAAGGTGATGAAAAAGCAAAAGATTAAGTCTGAGGTTTCCTAGTTGCCTGGTTGCAGCCAGTCCCTAGAAAGAGCAGACAGTCCCACAGAGTGACAAATCAGTATTTTAATCTCCTTTCAGATAAGAATGCAGTGGCTTCGCCTATTTCCTCCCAGATGAGTTAACTTCTAGCTCCTGTACTGGTAAAGGAAAGGCATTCCAACAGAATAAAATGGGTATTATGATTCTTACACAATCAATGCCACAGCCACTCCGCTATTACCCCATGATCCCTCCCACCTGAGTAACAAGGGAGTAATTTATTCCTCTGTGGATGGTAGGGATGAACTCCTCGCAGGATGTCAGAGAACAACGGAAGGAGTGCCGGTGCTTTTTATTTTCAAATTAGGACAAACTGCTTCCTAATGGAAAGATTTTACTAGTAATGAAGAATTTTAAAATATGTGAGCCATTTATTAGTATATACTAATAAAAAGTAATTGTACTGCTGACTGCTAGATGTAAGAAACAATAAACATGAAAGCGAAAGCATTTAATTATTTACATCTCAAGGCATTTTGTGCAGAAATAAAATATCAATGTCATTATGATATTTCAACTATACACTGGTGGTTCCAGTCCT